ACTTTGAATTCAAAGATCTGAGCTACTCTACCAGCTACACGGTGCAGGTTTGTGTAATCTTACCTTTTACTTTCACAAGAACATGACCAATGTATTTCTCATATTCTTTCAAATGCTTCAATAACTAATAGAGATTTTCTGTCTCTGCAGGTGTCAGTTTCCAACGAACGTTTTGAGAGCAGCCGCCCCGCGACAAAAGATGTTGACACTCTCTGTAAGTGCTGTTTTAATTAATACCATCAATTATTTCTTTTTGTTTAGTCAAATCATTCATAATAATAATAATAATACTTTATTTGTATAGCACTTTACAACTCGGTAGGAGCCCAAAGTGCTTCACAGAACAGCAGATAAAATACATGACCAACAACATACGAAATAAGAGCAAAACAAGAGAAACTAAAAACATACACAAAAAAATTATAAGTTGAAAGGTAATGACAGTTGTTTTCCTCAGTTGTATTCTCTGACTGCATCTTATTAGTCTGGACTTTGGCTTCTAACTTTTTCAGCATTAGATTGTAATCGATTACTCAATAAAAGAAACTATTAAAACTGCCAATACCCACCCCCCAATACAGTAAAACTGCACATTTTAGAGTCGTCTTTTACTGTGGACAGCCTAAGGCACACCTGTGCAATGATCATGCTGTCTAATCAGCATCTTGATATGCCACACCTGTGAGGTGGATGGATTATCTCGGCAAAGGACAAGTGCTCACTGACACAGATTTAGACAGATTTGTGAACAATATTTGAGATAAATAAACCTTTTGTGTACATAGAAAAAGTCGTAGATCTTTGAGTTCAGCTCATGAAAAATGGGGGCAAACACAAAAGTGTTGCATTTATAATTTTGCTCAGTGTATTTTCCTATACTGTTCAAGGAAAGAACTATGAAAAAACTTTAATGGAATAAAAACATTTTGGAAACATTTTTAAAATGTCTGTTGTCATTGTATTTCACCTCAAGTTTTATTTTAACAATCAGTTTCCTTTTTCAGATTGTTTTATTTTAAAAATGACTGATTAATTTCAAGGCATGGCACCTTAAAATTAAACTGTCCAAATATAACAAACTAAATCTCACTTTAACTGTGTGTTCATACAGTGTTGTATCTGAAGTTCAATATTTTTCTTTTGCTCTCTTACAGTACCATAAGCAGGATTTAACTGCTACACACATTTTTTTTAGTTGTGACAGAGAAATTGGAGTAAAAGATTCCAGAGTATACTGACTGGACAGCAGAAACAGTTGGAACCGTCAACGGGAATACTCTGTCTATATATATATAATATTGCATCTTTGACATAAATACCACTTAAATACCACCATAAATGTGCATATAAATGCAAAAACACAATTATAAATAATATATCAGAATTTTTATCCTGTTTTTTGTGAATGACATTAAACTGCTATTTACAGAAGCAGTACCAATATACATTATTTAAAGGAAAGACTGTACATAGTGCACTACAGTAGCTTCAATCATTAGTGAAAGAGAGGCCATGTTCACAATATGCACCAGGAAAAAACAGTAATTATAGAAATTAAAATCCACTGACAGTTGTTTTCCTCAGTTGTATTCTCTGACTGCATCTTATTAGTCTGGACTTTGGCTTCTAACTTTTTCAGCATTAGATTGTAATCGATTACTCAATAAAAGAAACTATTAAAACTGCCAATACACCCCCCCATACAGTAAAACTGTACATTTTACAGTGGTCTTTTATTGTGGCTAGCTTAAGGCACACCTGTGCAATAATCACTGACAGCGGTGCGGTGGGTAGAGCAGTCGTCTCCCAACCAAAGGTTGAAGGTTTGAATCTCGGTGCCTCCAGTCCACGTGTCGAAGTGTCCTTGGGCAAGACACTGAACCACCAAGTTGCCCCCGATGTTTAGAGCTGTTATGGTTAGTCCCCCTCACCAGGAGGATGAGGGAGAACTGAGATAGGACCCAAAACTGCAGACCCAGGTGCTAGTAAAAAAGG